AGACTGTCTCAAAAAAACAAAAAGAACACACACACACACACACACACACACACACACACACACATCAGCCTTTTAAAGCACAGCAACAGTGGGTTTTGTGCACTTGTAAAGGCATAGGATTGACCCAAACCCAGCCTATTTCATCAGCTGCAACAGAGCCCTGCCTGCTGCTGCTTCTGATTTGTTTTCTAAAGAGGATCTCAAGTCCTATAACCTCTAAGTTGTATATGAACTCACCCCTGGATTTTGCCAAGCTCTGTAAGGCCAGCCTCCTACTGATCACTGGGCAGCCAGTTCCCATCAGAACAAGGTTTCCAGGAACAACAGACCCCCTCCTACAACCCAGATCCCCTAACCCTCCTGAGAGTTCTGGTAAGTCGATCTGCCATCTTTCTGTGCCCCACCCACGCCCAATCCTGAAAGAGCTGGGACCCAGCAACCCATCTCTTCATGGATTTTCCCTTTCAAGTTTCAAACACTTGGCTCTTCGGTTCACTGAATTGTGTCATCCTTCCCTGAGGCTGGTGAGAGAGAGAGGTGATTGCCGCTCCAAAAGGTCACAGGGCAAAAGGAAGTAATAGTTTCCCAAATAGAGGCTCACTCCTCCAGTTCCTCCCGTGATGTACCCGGAACCCAGGCACTGCCCAGGGGCCTCCCACACAGAGGTGTGCCAGAGAGATGCCCTTTCTCTGCATAAGAAAAGTGAGGAAATGACCTCTTTAGACTTTTTTAAAAAGTAGAACTTCTGAGCCCTTGACCCAACAAGCCAATAGCAGGTATGACCAAATGCTATGGCTATAAGGATGGGTCTGAGGCCTGGGCCTCCACAGAATTTTTAATCTGGGTCTCTGGTCATCTTTACACTCTGAACTTGGGTTCATTCTGCAAAATGGCAAGCTAATTCTAACACAGCAGGGTACTCACCCCTTGTGAGAGCTTACTCTCCCTCGGTGCTTCGTGAAATTTCTGTTTTTATTTCATCTAATTAAAAAGTTGAGGAGATGGGAGAATTTGGAAGGAGGACATGGAAAGGGAGAAATGGTGTGATTATAATCTCAAAAAGCAAAAGCATACCTTTTAAAAATGTGAGGGGGTCAGCAAGTTGGCTTAGTGGATGGAGATTCCTGTTGCCAAGCCTCATGACCGGAGTTTGATCACAAGTCCTTGCAAATCCTGCGAATTGTCCTCGAGTTTCTATGCAGATGTGGCACGTCCATGCCCCTGCAAATGCACACAAATAAATAAACATAAAAATAAAGAAATTTTTTTTTAAAAGTTGAACAATGGTTAAAAGTTGAGTGGTGACCAGGGCACAGAAAAATCCCAGAATTCCCCTTACAGTGGCCAAGGTCAGACACATGGGGTCAGTCATTGTCACTAAACAGAGGAGTCGGTACAGGTGGCCAAGGCCAGCTCCCTCCACTGGGGAGAAAGGAAAGGAACCAGTGCATTCTAGTCATGTGTCAGCAAGTGGGGAGCGGGGCAAATCTGAGTGTGGAGCTATCCGTTGATGGTGATGATGGTGATTTGGTCAACAACCGTGAGGTTGGGCAGATCCCCTGCGCCATGGCTGAACAATTTACATGCAGCGGTTGCTACCATTTAGGAGATGAAGGACCCCTGTTAAAGAGGGTTCGAGGATTAAAAGAGGTTAAAGAGATTAGAAGATTTTATCAGGGCCATACAACTTGATACTGAGAGCGAAGAACTTTTCCTCCATCTGCCTTTGGGCTCTGCTTTTCTACGCAGTTCTAGGCCAACCTAGGCTACAATATGAGACCATATCTCAGAAAAAAAACCAACAGAGCAACTACTTTAGTTATCTCATTGAGAAAAAGGTATTCCTACCTCATACCATATGACCCAAACAATTTCATTAGAGCATTGAAGTCCTAAGACTGCCACAGGGTGTAACAGGATGATGAACAGTGACACTGTTTCAGGATGAATCCGTTAACGGCGCAGTGGAAGGGCTCCTGGAACACCTCACAGATTACCTTTGTCCCTGTGAAGAGGAGCAAGACTCTTTAAAAAGCCAAAGGACAGATGAGAAACATATTATAGACACATACCTCCTGAACTTCATAAATATCTCCTAGGAAATAAATACCGGACGTCCAACAGAATACAGGTTGAGGCGATGAAAGCGCTATAGTAAAGACGTGATAAAAAGTCTCTTGACAAAACTCCTAATGAAAGCAAACCATAGAGTTGGCCGAGGTCTAAAGGATTAGTAAGAGTGTGGGCAAACACGTCCCGAGCCAGAGCTGCCGGGCATGCATGTCCTTTCAGCCTGCAGCAGGAGCAATTAGGCAGCCAATGCGTGCCTCCACAATCCTGCTTTCCGAGGTTTAATACGCACCTGCTTACATATGTAGGAAGTGGTTGCACACACATATTATTGTCTCATTGTTCTAAGTGAAAAGGCTTGGAAGTAAATCAAATAGTTTAATAGGAAGAACAGTGGTTCATAAACTGTGGAACAGAAGTGGGGTGTTGAGTGTGTGAGTGTGTGTCTCTGTGTGTGATATGTGCTTGTATATGATGTAGTATCCTTGTGTGTGATATGTGTGTGTAATGTGTATGTGATGTGTTTGTACTTGCGTGTGTGATATGCTTGTGTGTATTTGTGGTATGCTTGTGTGTTATGTGTACATGATATGGTATACTTGTGTGTGAGGTGTGTTTGTGTATGACATGGTGTGTGATGTGTTTCTGTGCCATATGCTTATGTGTATATATGTTGTGTGCTTGTGTGTGTATTGTGTTTTTCTGTGTTACATGGTGTTCTTCTGCGTTATGTGTGTGATGTGGTGTGTTTGTGTATGATGTCATGTGTGTGATGTGCTTGTGTGTGTGATGTGGTGTATGTGTGATGTGGTGTGGCATAATATGTGTGTGTGTGATGTACTTGTCTGTGTGTGTGAGGTGTGTGATGTGCTTATGTGTGTGCGATGTGGTGTGCGTAATGTTGTGTGCATGTGGTGTGGTGTATGTTTATGTGTGTATGTGTGAAGTGTGGTGCATGTGTTTGGTTTGGTGCATGTACATGAGTGTCCTGGTACAGACACCCATGCATGCACATGTTAAGGCCAGAGCAGAACTCGGGGCACCTCCTCTATCACTCTCTGCCTTATTGCCTTGAACAGGGTTTCTCACCAAGCCAGGAGCTCACCATTTCAGATGGGCTGGCTGGCTGGCTGACGTGGTCCTGGTGTCTATGTGTCTGTATCCTTCCTCTGTCTTTATTAAGATTGGAGTTACAGGCATACATAGTGTCTTAGTTAGGGATTCCATTGCTGCAATGAAACAGCATGACCAAAAAAGCAAGTTGGGAAGGGAAGGGTTTATTTGGCTTACATTTCCATATTGCCATTCATCATTGAAGGAAGTCAGAACAGGAACTCAAACAGGACAGGAATATGGAGGCAGGAGCTGATGCAGAGGCCATGGAGGGGTGCTGCTTACTGACTTGCTCCCCATTGCTTACTTAGTCTGCTTTCTCATAGAATTCAAGACCACCAGCCCAGGAACGGCACCACCCTACCATGAGCTGGGCCTTCCCTCATCCATTAATAATTAAGAAAATGCCCTAGATCTTATGGAGGCATTTTCTTAAATGAGGTTCCCTCCTTTCAGATAACTTTAGCTTATGTCAGGTTGACATAAGACTAGCCAGCACAACTGAACCCTTGTCAACTTGACACATGAACACATCACTTTTAAGCCACAACCTTTCCTTTCTTATTCATCCCCAAGATCTCACATTAAAATCATAAATAACTTTAAAATTCCCACAGACTTTACAAATTAAAACACATTAAAATTTCAGTCCCTTTAAAATTGCCAACCTCTTTTAAAATTCAGTCTTTTAAAATTCAGTCTCACAACTGTGGACTCCAGTAAAATAAAAAATAAATAAAATACTGTCTTACTTCAAGGGTAAAGAACCAGGGCACAATCTAAACAAAGCAAAACCAAATGCCAAAAGTGGAAACAGCTCAATGCCCAGTGTCTGGGATTCACTCACGATCTTTTGGGCATCTCCAAGGGGCTTGAGTCACTTCTCCAGCTCCGCCCTCTGCAGCACACACAGCTTGTCTTCTAGACTCTGGCTGGCTCCGCTCCACGGCTGCTGCTGTTCTTGGTGGTCATCCCACAGTACTGGCATCTCCAAAATGCTCGGTCTTCTGCTGCAACCAGGCTGCATGTTCACAAGCAGCCTCTCTTAGACTCTGTTCATGGCACCAAGCCTCAACTTCTCTTCATGATCTCCTCACTGGGCCTTCAACTGCCACTGAGGCTGCACCTTCACCAACGGCCTCTCCTGACCTCTCACAGTGCCAAGCCTCAGCTGCTCTACATGACCCCTTCATGCCTTCAAAACTAGTACCACCTGGGTGACTCTTATATTACCAAATTTGGCTGCCAGCATGAAGTAACAATCTTGGCTGCCTCTGGAACATGGCTTCTATGTGTTGACCTGCAGGAAACACTTCCTAGAAGATTTCACCTCAACGATGCTATTCTCTTCTTAATCATCACTAATTTTTCCACTTTGGTTGGCCAGCATCAATTGTCCAAGCAAAGCAAAGTTTCACTTTAGTAGTTCTGGTATCTACTAAATTAATCACAGCTGATTCTTCAGCCCCAGTCAACCAGAACCACAAAATCTTCAAAATAGCAAATAACCCTGATGGAGTCTTTAAACTCCCCTCTGAAATGTTACAAGCCAGGCCTCCATCTTCTGCACTGCCCTCAACTTTCTTATTTCCAGGCTCCTACAGAACAACTCACCAAGCATTGAATACTCAATGACTTTTCTTGTTCAAACTTCCAAAGTCCTTCCACAATCCTCCCCAAAACAACATGGTCAGGTCTGTCACAGCAATACCCCACTCCTGGTACCAACTTGTCTTAGTTAGATTTGCTATTGCTGCTATGGGTGTTTCTTTACATGAATGCTGGGAATTTGAGCTCACATTCTCATGCTCACACAGCAAGTACTCTTAACCATTGATCCATCCTCTCAGTCTCTGGAACAAAATGCTGTGCAAATATCAGAAAGGTAAGTTGATCCCTTATCTCACTCTGTGCAATAGGCTACATCCCAGTCTCTATGACACTGTTTTAAAAATAACATAGAAGTCAAGTTCCATGATTTGGGATTTGATAGTAGACTTTAGATATGATGCCAAACATGTAAGCAACAAAAGAAAGATACATAATTTGAAACTTATCAGCATCAAAAACTTTTGAGTATCAAAAGATATGTGAGAAAAATGAGAGGACAAGGCTGAGTGTCATGGTACTGTGATCCCGTCTTTGAAGGGCTGAAGGAGGATGGTGAGGCCAAGGCCAGTTTGGACTACTTAGTGAGATCCTGTCTCCAGAAAGAAAGAAAAGGAAGGGGGCAGGGGAAACTAAGAGAAAACAAAGACTCTGAACAGATGTTTCTCTAAAAAGGAGATGCAGCCAGTTAACCACTGGGATTGGCTTTCACTGATACAGACTTTCCTTTGATGATAATAAAAATCTTTCCAATTAGACAGTAGCAATGCTTGCACAACGTTGTGAGCGCATGGGAAGCTACTGAAACACACACTTCAACATAGTTGTTATGGGCTAGGGATGTAGCTCAGTTGGCAGAGTGCTTGCCTAGCATACAGAAAACCCTGGGTTCAATTGACAACACCACATAAAAGTGGGTGTGGTGGCACACACGTCTCATCCCAGTATCTGGGAGGTAGTAGCAGGAGTATAAGAAGTTCAAGGTTAGAGTAAGTTCAAGAGAAGTCTGAGATACCTAAGAGCCCACCCACCCCCCAAAAAAAGTTAAAATGGTAACTTTCATGTAACTTATATTTTATCTCAAGAACAAAAGGAAGTTCTTTATGTATCAATAGGACTAATCCCCAAGATACCTGTTAAGTAACATTAAAATTAAGTCTCTGACTGTAGAACTATAATCAACTTTCTGATACAGAACTAGAGATCACAGGATATCATTTATACATTATAATGCCCTTATTAATATGGCATAGCTTCCTGGGAAGACAGGCAGAGAAGCAGACCTACCCCTGAGCCACCTTAAACTCAAGCCAAACACATTCTTCCCAGGGTGCATGCAAGTGTTGAACAGCACTTGCCTCTGGCTTTGTTCTACAAGTCAGTTTGGCTCCCCCTCACCACTCTTATTCTGGGCTTCATACAGGCAGCTCTAAGCTGAGCTTTGCATCCTCTGGAGAAACCCCTTCTTTTGTGCCCAGTTATAACTGCTGTGTAGGGTGCCTGGGCAAGCTGCCCAGGACAGAGCTCCACAGAGAGACTGTGCATCAAGTGCCTTCCTCCTCATCCAAGGCTGGAACCCCATGCTCCCAGTCAGTCAGCTTTATCCAATTCTGTTATGAACTAGGCTCCTCCCTCATATGTTGAAGACCTAATTCCAGTAACATTAAGAGGTAAGGCCTTTGGGAAGTGATTAGATCTATATAAAGTCCTGAGGTAGGGTCCCCAGGATGTGACTAAAGAGACTAGAACTGCTTCTCTGTCATGTGAGGACATATTTGGAGGGCAGTTGCCTTCAAACCAGGACGAACCTCACCAGACACCAAATCTGCAGAGGCTGTTCCCATACATCTAGCTCCAACACTGTGAGAAATGAAGTCTGTCCTTGAAGTCAGTCCATCTGCATGTCAGCTTTGCACTACTGTGACAAAAGACCTGAAATAAGTGATTTATAAAGCAGAAAGGTTCACTTTGGCTCACTGCCTCAGTTCATGATCTCTTGGTTTCATTACGTTATAACACTGGGTCTGTGGTGAGGTGAGACATCCTAGCAAGTGTATGTGGCAGATGAATCTGCTCAGTACATGTAGTCAGGAAGCAGCGAGGTCCAGGAAGGGGCCAATCCTCCAATAACCTACCTTCCCTCTGTTAATCTCTGTGTCTTAAAAGTTCCACTACCTGCAACACACGGGAAATCAAGCCACAGTACCATAGACAGTGCCTTATGATAGCTGTCCAAACCAATGGGGGGGAGAGTGGGGAGGGGAAGAGAGGGGAAGAGGAGGGAGGGGGAGATACAAGGAGAGGGAGAAAGGGGGAGCAGAGGAACAGGACAAGGGAGAGGAGATAGACAACAAAGGATTTTCAAGGCTACCTGTCTAGCTCATGTGTGCAGCCAGCAGAAATTGGGAGCTTCAGTTCTACCCCTGGATCTAGGGTACCCTCAACTGCCCCCCCAACACTGAGGGCATCCCACTGGTCAAGTACCATTTTTATATTAAAAGTTAGGCATTTTCATCTAGCATCACCCCCAAATACATCCCCTACTGTTCTTGGGGCTCAGCTTAGAGGAAAACTAAACCATCAAATCAGTTCCAGTGCTGGAGGAGTCCCCAACTGAGGAAAACCTCTCAAAGGACAGCACAGCGCTCTATTTTATGGGTGATTTCTGGGATTTTCAAGGGTAATTTCGACCATATGTTTTCCTCGGGTCACGTGATGGCTTTAGCCTCTATCCCCCGAGTCAAATGTGATTGCTCTCTAACTGGCTGCACGGCCAACTTCTCTGTTCCAAGATCCAACATGACTAGGAGATAGCAAACTCCCCAACCCTCTGGCTCTTACGGTCTGTCTCCTAGTCACGTCAGAAGCTACGACCCTAGTGTCTCACCACCGTGACTGCCCAAACTGAACAGAGACGACAACAGCCACGGGGGGGGGGGGGGGGGGGGGAGCCAAGGAGGCTTCAACCCTACGCCAGAACTATAGGCAACTAAGGGATGCTTCGAGGGGGAAGGGACCACTAATTGCCACGAATCCAGTGCCAAATGGTCAGCCCTGGAAACATACACATGAGCAACATTATACAGACTGAGCAGAGGCATTTATGTACTTAGGAATATATGTGTACATACACAGACGTATGTAACACCAATTAATGAAAAAAAAGAGGCAATGGATTAGAAAGAGAACAAGGAGTGGGTATATGGGAGGGTTTGGAGGAAGGAAAGGGAAGGGGGGGATGTTGTGATTATATTATAACATAATCTATATTTTAAAAACCAGACAAAAGATGCAGGGTAGTTAGATCACTCACTCCCGTCCAAGTGTCTTCACGCACCTCTCACCTCCCCCTCCTGAATGTCTGTGCTGCTTGCGTTGTTCCATGGGGGTGCAAGGAAGGCTCAGGTGCTCTGAGAGTGATTGCACACAAGCCTCCCCCAAACTGAGGCTTAGTAAGGTGACATGATTACCCTGTAACACGGCTGAGCTGGGGGGGGGGGGTGCGGCTGGAATCCAAATTCCCGAGTTTCGCCCGCTTCGCCATTTGAGCTAAATCACTCTCCTCAGCTTAGCTCACCTGATTCTTTCTCCTCCGTGCTAATTTATGTCTTCAGTTTGCATCCAATTTAGCCCCTTCTACTCAGGCAGCTTCCTTGCCTGCAAATCCCCCCGGGGAGGCCTTCAGATGACTCCTGCCCAGAAATTACTGCCTTCAGCCTGAGCACACGTGCCCAAGGCATTCCTCTGGGTCCTGAATAACACCATGACATCGCCAGCCACCTTGGCCAGCAGCTTCTCCACCGGCCCGCTGACATTTTGAGCCTCTCCGTAGCCCATTGCTAGAGCAAATACCACTTGCTTCCACGGCTACCTGCAGTTCTTGTTATTTTCTTGTCATTGACTTCGTGCTGGGGTTTCTAACCACCCAATCCAACTTCCCTGCTTTTATTTCTTTTTCTGTCCTTGGAATCTGAAGCATCCCCCGATTTACCACCATCTGCTACCTTAATTAATAGGCTGTTTACCTCCCCTGTAGGACCTCGCAGAGATGCTCTTGGACGCCATCCCTGACTCTGTAGAGTTGCGGGGCCTTCATTAGTCTTGGTTTATAATCCAGCCTTCAATCTAGCTGACAGCTCGCAGCTCCAAGCCAATTTGAATTACATTTTTTTCTCGTAGGATTTCATAAGACACAAATACGCTTTATTCAAACCTGGAACAAATTACAGTTACAAGATTCCCTCTGTCCAGTCCTTTTATAATTTGAAAGGAACCAGAAAGAGTGGGGGCAGGGTGGACAAAAAGAGCATTAATCTGGTTTGTTTGATATAAATTCACTGCGTTCTCCTCTGCATTGAAGTCTCGGGATTTTGTTGCAAGCAATTCTCGTTCTGCATAACATAGCTGGGTGCCTTCTGCCTCCCTCCATGTCACCACCCTCACCAGCAGACTTACATTATACCCAGTGCAGTCACACACAAAGCTATGGCCAAAAAAATAAATGAAGAAAGCGGCTTTTTTAAACCTGAACTGCCAACGCTCTTTACCGTCAAAGATGGCAGCTTCTCTAGAAGACACAACAGCTTGTGATCAGATCCTCGCTGTTGTTGGGAGGAGGAGGTGGCTCAGCAGGTCCACCACTTGCCAGACAACTGTGACGACCGATGTTCGGATCCCAAGACCCACATTAAAGCCCAGCACAGTAGACGGGGCACTATTGCAAGTGTTCCTTAAAATGCAGTTGTCTATGCATTTTCTTCCCAGATGAGTAAGGGGAGAGGGATGGTATAGCATCTATCAGGATCCTTCTGTGGCTCAGACCCCGACTGAGGAGTTCGCCCCTGTGATCACAATAATGAGTTTAAACCATCCTTGTCCACATCTCCTAAAGATCTGGATCAAGGTGTAGATCTCCAAGGCTCACCACTATACACTCTGAGTGGAAGTTTGAGAATGGGACTGTAAAAGGCCTGCTGGGTGTTTCTTTGGTGGCTAGGTGAATTTTGGAAACACCAGAATTACAAAACACCCCAGAAATATCTATTTCAGCACCTTTTTGTCTGTCATTTGTCGGGTATAATGCTCAAACAGCTTTAATAATCTTCCCCGAATACTCAGACTATGAAGACATAAGCCCAGCACTGAAGAAAGGCTTATAGGCTTGTGGAGCCCATGCCTTCTTCTTGACACCAAGGCACCTCCATTGTGATGGGAAGCTTCCTTTTCTGTACAGTTTTTTTTTTCCTCTAAGATGTCTCACCATTATTTTTATAAGATAAAAATGTTTTTCAGCATGGTTCACATCAAAGCTCACATTAGCTCTACTCATCATAGCCAAAATACTAGACCACCCAACTCCACAGTAAACGAACTGAGAAACAAAAGGAAGAAACATGTACATGCAGTGGAATATAATTTGCTTATGAAGAGGAGTAAAGCTCTTATACACACTACAGCATGGAGGAAACTTGAAATAAGATGCAAAAGACAGATACTGAATGATGGCACTTTTGAGAAGCCTGGGACAAGCAGACTCATAAAGACTGGATGTAGAATCGTTTCTGGCAGACTGGGAGGAGGAGAAATGAGGGATTGTTTAATGGGGACAAGAGTTTCTGCTTCGAGTAAAGGGAAAGTTCGAGAAATAGATTGTGACTCGGGAGCCCATACTTTGGCCTTCACTTTCTCTGTAAAGCCACATTTCTCCTTGATGGGGCCTCTGATGCCTGCAACACAAGGACCCTCTGAATTGTAAGGTGCAAGTTCAATTGCTAAGACATCTTCTGCCCCCACATTTTGTTTCAGATAGACCCTTGATAGGTAGCCCAGGCTGATCCTCCTGCCTCAGCTTCCTAAACACTAAGATTACATGCACGCACTCCCTGTCTGCCTTCTGTTGTTGTTGCTGTTGGTCTTTGTTGGTGGTGGTCTGTAAAAATAAATATGGCCAGCAAGATGACCCTGCGGGTTAAAGTACTTGTCTTGTAAGCCTGATGACCAGAATTCAATCCTCAGAACACACATTAAGATGGAAGGAGAAAACCAAGTCTACAAAGTTGTCCTCTGACCTCCACCAGTGTGCTGTAGCATGTATGTGTCCATATACACACACCATGCACACACAATGATGATGATGATGATAAATATTTTAAAAGAAATGTTTAATGCAGAGAGTAAGTGACCACAGGGAGCTCACCCCCAATTGGTACATCTACAACACCACCCCTACACTGAGGCTCAGAAACATGGTGGAAAGGGGGGCAGAAAGATTTAGAGCTAGAAGACCAGAATACCAACCTATCTACCTGGTCTAGACCTACCTGTATGGTCTAGACATGATAGGGAGACTGAGTCCATGAAATCTCAACAGTACTGTTGCCTAAACAAGGCCTGAGTAATGACCACACCAGTCAACATGCCAGCACAGATGGAGGACATGTCACAAGGCCCCACCTCTCCATGAAGAGATTCAGGCGATCCATGGCTGCTCTGGGAGGAAGAATCAGTTTTCTCCAGGTTATTGAACCCCAAGTTTCTTGACGGGTCATTGAACCCCAAGCCCTGAACACATACACACAGAAACAACACTCAATAGAGTATGCATAAAATACTGAAAAATGTTATATTAAAAAATGGCTTTTGAAATTCGATATACATGGGTGTTTTGCTTGCATGTTTGTTGTGCACTACGTACATGCCTGCAGAGCATCAGACCTCCTGAGACTAGACAGTTGTAAACCACAATACGGGTGCTAGGAATAGAGCCCAGAACTTCTGGAAGAGCAGAGTACTCTTAACAACTGAGCCACCTCTCTGGCCCCAGAAATGATTTTTTTTTTTTATTAAAAAAAGAATGAATAAATAAATGCAAATGTAACTCCTTTGACCCCTGAGAACATCATCCCAAACCAGTTGGACCAAATGAAAATTTTCCTTTTATGGACAAAGCATCTCATCTGATAAACGGGTAGCTGGCTAACCAAGAACATGCTAGAAACCTTTCAGGCTGCAGTCTTCCCATTCAAAGAGCAGATGAGAACAGGAGATAGGGGAAAGAGAACCATGGAAAAAATTGAAATAATTAATGTATGCCTTAAATTTGGCTGGAGGAGTTATTTAAGAGCATTGTAGCTTCCTCTACATGATCAGTATCTTCAAGGAAAATGTGATTTTTTTTTTCCCCTTCAGAGGAAAGCGGCTCCAGCAAGAGGCTATAAAGACTGTAGGCACACAAAGGTTATGAGACGTTAAGTCAAAGAGGTGGCAGGTCTGTTGTGTCTGAAAAGACACGTGCAACCTGACACTGAGTTCCTTCCTGCTCAGGGACTCGTAGGGCAAGAGAAATAAAGACCATGATGGGGCCAGGGATATAGTTCATTCAGAAAAGTTCTTGCCGCCCAAGCACAAGGACCTGAGTTCAATCCGCAGCATACATGTGAAAAACTGGGTAAAGGGACATGTACTTGTAATCCCAGTGGTGGGGAAGCAGAGGCAGGAGGATTATCCCCTGGGGCTCCCAGGTCAGCCAGCCTAGCCTTCTTGGTGAGTTCCAGGCCAGTGAGAAACCTTATCCCAGAAAACAACATGGATAGTACCAGAAATGTGGTAGCCAAGGTTGCCCTCTGGCCTCTACGTACATGTACACATTCGTATACACACATACATACCAGACCACAACGATGTCCTATGGCTGAAAGCCTCTGCGGACACTGCTTCTGTGCGGGACAGACATCTATTCCCCTGCAGAAAATGAGGTAGCACTTAACCATCACAAGGAAGAAAAATACCATTAATCTTTGCCTGGAGTGAATTGACAATAGAACTCATGAGAGCCAGAAAAGAGTTCGAGGCAAAGTGAGATGTCCCCTCAGAAGCGGTGGGACGGGGCATGCCTTAAACAAACCGCAGGTTTTGTTAGACATACTTTCTGCCCTCTTTTAATAGTTAACCTGACCCCAGTTCAGGAATTCAAGATAGCAAGGCATCTATTGTGCCCCTGGAGAAAGCTTTGCAAACCCGAGTGCCTTACAGCCTTGGCTGCAGCCATTGTCCCAGGGATTCGGGTATGGCCCTTCCTTCTTGGATCTTACAGCCCTCCAGACCCACATTGAGCTTATCTCTGGCAGGAGACTCAAGGGTTTATGATTTTAAAACATAACTTGAGTACGTCTCCGTCTTATCTCAGAATGAGTTTCCCTCGCACTCAGCGTCCCAGCTGCTTCTTGCTGCGCAGCCAGACTCCTGCAGAGATAAAAATACCACTCATTTAGGTAAATGATTAAATTGAAAGTTACAATATTACTGATTAAGTTTGCACAACGAAGAGGGGGAAAGAAAGCAAATTCTTTGAGAGGGTCAAGGAAGTGCCTGCCCTCCTATGTGACCCCCAGGCAGCTCCCACCCTGAATGGCGAGGTTCTTATGAAGGTTCCCTTAGGGGAACCTCCTCCACTTCATGTCACTAGGGTCTCTGCTTTCAATCTCAGAACAACTACTTATTGTCTCGTGTGTGTGTGTGTGTGTGTGTGTGTGTGTGTGTGTGTGTGTGTGTGTGTGAATGTGTGTGCTTGTCTGTGTGTGCTTGTCTGTGTGTACCTTGGGCTGTGGAAGGAACTTTCTGGAGTCAAGCATATTTCTTGAACCTATCAGTCATGAAGTTGCTGGGAAAGAAGATGTGGGTTGTGTGAAGAAAATCAGGGTGATGGCACACAGTGAATGATTTGGACTATGTAAAATTGAGTGTAACAAATACAGGTAACAGATAAAGATAAAATAGCCACCAAGGTATATGATAGGACAGGGCCTGGATGGAGCACACTTGGGATGAAGAGAGAGGTACTGCTGTGGGATGGTCTGTATGTCAAATTGCTCTGATTGGTCAATAAATAAAACATTGATTGGCCAGTGGCCAGGCAGGAAGTATAGGCGGGACTAACAGAGAGGAGAATTAAGGGAACAGGAAGGGAAAGAGAGTCACTGCCAGCCGCCGCCATGACAAGCAGCATGTGAAGACGCCGGTAAGCCATGAGCCACGTGGCAAGGTATAGATTTATGGAAATGGATTAATTTAAGCTATAAGAACAGTTAGCAAGAAGCCTGCCACGGCCATACAGTTTATAAGCAATGTAAGTCTCTGGGTTTACTTGGTTGGGTCTGAACAGCTGTGGGACTGGTGGGAGACAAAG